ATTCTAAAATTTTGATATTTTAATCTGGGGGACCATTAGCAAACTATACAAATGTAAAGTATCTTATCTGTTCTGCGGGATTTGTTTTTTCTTAAAAAACTTTATTAAATAAATTTTCCTATGATTACTATAGTTTTAAAAAAGGAAATTAAATCTTGTATTAAAGATATTAGTTGTTTCTAAAATCTGAATTGATCTCTTTATACATTTTATTTAAAATGATTTTCATAAAAGTTTTGAGAAGTTTAATGTAAGGAGAGTTTTCTGGACTTTCTTTTCTATTTGCTTCTTTCAAAGTCATTATATTTTATCTTTTAATGTAATGAGGCACTTGATTGTCAAAAAGTGCTGAAGTTTAAAATTCGTAGGGGATTGAAAAGTTTTTCTGATTCAACTTAGCTTAGTTCTTCACAGGGTTGGGTTTTTGCCGTCAAAAACTGGTTTTTGACATGACAGTGGTAAAAACCATCAAAAACCTACTGTTTTCTTTAATTTATGGCATATAGCGGACAATATATTATTTTCACTTAATTGCCTTTATAAATGAATCTTGTAAGTGATTGCTATTGATTTTGCAACTATATACACGTATTCTTATAGAAGGATATTCATTCATACAGAAATAATGTAGCAACATACTTATTGAAAATACTGATACTTAACTTCTATCATTATAGCTTGATTTGCAAAGGATTCAAAATTTTGCACTTCTTAAATGTTAGAAATAAACAAACAAACAAAAATACTTGCAACTATTAATAAATTCAGGAACTAAAAAAAGAATTTAAAATTTGGCATTTCTTAAATATTAGAAATAAACAAAACTTTCAAAACTTGTAACTACTAACAAACTCTAAGTCAGGAATGACTTGACATTCTTCAGTAATGTAATATGTCAAACAAAATGATGCTTGGAAATGTTGAAAATTTTGTTTAGTATCCTAATATTTTACTTCAAATAGTATGATTTGATATAATCATGTTGGGAAAATGCAAAAATCTGTTCTTAAATATCTTTTAACATTTTTTCTAATTCTATTGCCCAAAAATGAATTAATTTTAAATCATAAGCAGTTAAACTCAAATTAAAATACAGTTTTATCAAAACTATGGGTTTTTGACAGAGGGATTTTTGACATGACTGTAAAAACCATGGTATAAACCGGTAAAAACCGTCATGTGTCAAAAACTTGCCAACCCTGGCTCTTCATCAATCTTTTTATACTGCAATAAAGATTTCAATAAATTAACATCATTGTTTGGTACAATTTGAGTTAAAGCTGTTTTATAAGTTTTTTACATGTGTATAGCCAATATAAATATCTTATGCAATTTCTTTTTTTCTATTGGTATAGTGATGTAATGATAACTACTAATCCATGTTTTAAAACAGTACAATATTTTTGACATCTACTGAGCGTGGCTCATAGTAACAGATGCCAATGATACCACGAGAAAATGTTTTACCCAAAATATTTAAATCAAGTCAAGAAATAGCTGATAATCATTTCTTGAGTGGAAATCGAGCAATTGTTCAGAAAATTTAATTATATTGTCTTTTATGTAAGTCATTCAAACAAAAATGTTCTTATTATTGAATCCTGTGTCATACTTATTCTTATTAGTGACTTTCCAGTTGAACTGAGTATAGTCCATAAATGCTTCACTTGGAGAGGAAGATAATTGTTTTTGAAATGGTGACTGTTTATGGCAAGGGGGAAGAGGAGATCTCGAAAATTGTGACACACATTTTGTTTACTATATCAACATTTAAAATAAGCAGATAAAATATTTTTACATTAGGATATTTATTTTTTATTGCTTTATCTTGCCTTAATTTTAAAAACATAAAAATGTTTTGTGTTCTCATTTATTTTATTTTGTGCTTATCAAAACATCAATGTTGATAAAGGGGAATGTTTGCGTAATGCAGTACCTATGACATATGACAAGTCTGGTGAAGTGGGACATTTAAATCTGCATAAATAACAAAGTTCGTAGTCTGATTTTCTTTATAAAAAATATTTTGTCTTTATATTTCTGATTTTTGTATGTGTTCAGAACATTTTATCTTCTATGGATAAAGATGTGGATTTTAAAATAATCTATTTGAAGAGTAAAATGAATTGGATTTTTTATCCAGGATTTTTTTATTTTTATTAAGTAAAAATCACAAAATTTGATGGTTCAAACTTCTATACCATCCACTGATTAAATACATGGTTGAGTCATATAGTCTTATTGTCAAGATATCTTGTTTTGAACTTTTTGAGAATTCAGTCATTTTCTGATAAAAAGAACTCAAAAAATTTTCAGGGATAAATTTTTATGGTCCCTGAATTACATACTATAACTTATTTTCAGCAAATGCAGTTATAATTCTTATAGGTGAAGAGATTTAGAGTTCCACAATTATAGATTTGTTTCATTCATTTGATTTAAAAAAATATATATACATTGACTCTAATCTATAAAACCATTATCATATATTGTATAATTTTAAAATTGAAAATTGAGGGATTATCTGCATAATAATCTTTGTTTAACCTCTTCCTTCTCGCTCCCGTGAAAATGAAGGGGCGTGGTTTCGCCCTCTATTTCTCGCTTCCGTCATATTTTCGGCTGGAGTGTTTGGTCGTAATGCGCCAGTAAGAATAAAACTAATTCATTTCTTTTGCCCGGAAAACATTTTATTTCTCATTTTACACACCAGATGGCAGTACCAGAATATTTTTAAGGTAATTATAGATAGTTTATTTTAAACTAGATGTCAGCACTAATCAAATACGTGTATTTGTGATATGATAAAAAAATAGGCACTTTTATGACCGTTTTCTTGAAAATTAACCAATGGTTAAGGGGTTAAAGGTGAAGACCATGAGTTCTGTGCGTCATTAACGAAATTATACTAGCAACTGTTGTTGTTTCCGTTCTAAACAAAGTGATTACGAAAATTAAGATAGAATAATTCTCTTTATATAAATTTAGCTTTCGTTACACCCTAGAAGATAAAATAATTTTTATTTTTTAAGTTTGTTGTTTGCTGTTGTAAAAAAATCAAAATTTTGTTGAAAAAAGTAATATGTATCTTTATTTTTTTTGGTTGTATATGAGATATGCAATAATCAATGTGGTGTGGACATTAAGAAATAGGTGGCGTCTTTTTTATTTTTTGTTCCAATCAGACATAGCTGTTATTGCTTTGACTTGCAATTGATTTTAGAAGATTACAATATCACTCTTATTTGGATTTTTTTTCAACACACTCACTAATAGACAATAATGCAAACTTGATCTGTTCTAAGCTACCTCTTAATATTATTGAAATATTTTCAAATTTTGCCTAAATAATTTCATAATGCAGTAAGAAAATAATTGCTTTTGGCAGGATTGAAAAAGAAGCATCGTTCTCGAATCTCTAACTTTTGATAACTTATCTGTGCAAAAATATAAAATTTTCATATGTAACAAGAGTTATTTTGTCCTCTTTTGAGTTTTTATTTTGTGTCTTAATCAGACACAGTTGTATGGTTTAATTTTTTTCCTATATAAGTTACATATTTCTCGATGTTTTAATATTTTTTTCAGTGGTCTGTCTGTAATTTTTATTAATGTTTTAAAAAAACCTTGTGAAGCAGACCAATTACAGTATAGGACCCGAAATCCGGCACTCACGGGACTGACGAAATTCCGTATTTCGGAATTTGCTGAATTTTGGATCTCTTCTGGAAACTCCAATATGGCGCCCATATATTACAATAATTCAATTATGCAGTTAATTTCAGAAAAATCAATAAATTTAGCAAAGTTCCGATTGTAGATTATGATGGGGTGAATTTAAAACTGTCCCATCTTAAGAAATTTCATCAATTAAAATAATAATCTATATAATATAATCAAGGAGAAATAATCCAAAGAAGAAATAATTCAGGATGAAATAATCCGAATCCTCCGAAAAAGAAAATAGTTTTTTCTTCAGCGCAAGATCATTGTTCTAATTTTTTCTTTACATAATATTTTTTTTAACAAAAGACGCTCACCTCGCAAAAAAAAGGAAAAAGAAAGAAAGCTAACAAGAAACTGCAAAAAATAATAATAATAATAAATAAATAAAAATTAATGCTAAGAAACTAACAATGAATAACTACAAAAAAGAAGCAAACAACTATTAAAGATTAAAAAAAAAAAACATGTTAACAATTAACAAAAAAAGTAACAGTTAATAGCAAATAAAATAATAAATTAATCAAATAAAAAAAAGCAAAAGAGATAGAATTCATTTTGTAAACCACATGGTAGTTTCAATGTCAACAGGGTGTGGCCAATTTATGGTCAAACAGGAGAGGGAAATGTGGGGACAAACCAGTAAAGCACTTGCACAGCTGTCAAGATTGATTGATCAGTTTCTCCCAACTTGCATTTCTTTATTTTGTTCATTTGGAAATGCAGATGTTTTTACTTTTCACTTTAATTTAAACTGCTTTAGGAACAGATGTTTTGTTCGACACAGATTTATTTATTTTTTCATGCTTTTTTTTCATTTTTAAAGACAAAATATAGTTACTTACTTCAAGAGAAAAAAATTCCAAATAGAAAGAGAATATGACTGATTTTTTTTTCTCATATCAATAAAATTTCTTAAAAAAAAAAAAAATTAGGTAGGATTAAGTGTCGAATTTCGGGTCCTGCCGGATTAGGGGTCCACACTGTATCACTACTGTATGTGTAATATGAACTGAGCCAATTATCTGTGGCTCAGTTCATGTTATACATAATAGTTCAATAACTTCTCTAAACACTATATGTATAACATGAAGTAAACTGTTTATTTTGGTGATTGAATTATTTTCCATAGTTTTAAAGATTAAAAATGTATTAAAAATTATCAGATCAATAAGAAAAAGTTAGGGTTAGACTTAAGTTTTGTGTAAGATTTTGGTCTATCAATTGTTATTATGTATTAGTATATTGTTAATAACATTTCAGTAATACTTTTCTAGCTCAATATTCAATTTGATGATAATGCCACCTCTACTTTTGAATACCCTTCAGAAAACACCAGTTTTTCTCCAAATGAAGAAAAAGTCCCATTTGATTCCTCTATTGCCATGGGATCTGCTGCCAATTCTAGTATGTATACAAAGATATAAACAGGCTATAGGGGCTCTTGTACTAAAGTAAAATGTTATTACTAAACAGCATCTCTTTTTATGTTTATATAATAGCTTCTAAAGATAATTCATGTTTTACTTTGAATTTACATCCCTTGTTTTCTGTATGTCAATATTATTGTCATTTTAGATTTGAATTTTTTCTGATATTAATTCCTGGATATGACACTGTATTTTAATATCTATGTATAAACTAAGAGATTCTTTGACTAGTATGCTGAAAATATGAAAGTGAAAATGTATATAAACCTTTAGCTTCAGCTGCAGTAGTTCAGGGGATAAAGCTTTCATCTCCCAATGAGGTGACTCAGATTTGAATCCTGGCGATGGCTAGTTTATACGAATTCTTTTCCAGACTTACACTGACGTGAAATATCCTTAGTGGTAGACGGATCATGGATTAGAGTCCACTTGCTATCGAGCTAACCGCGGGATATCTTTGTGGTTTTGCTCTCCACGTAAAGCAAATGCAGATTAGATCTTTCAAAAAGTCCTCCACAAGGGCTAGTTTATTAGAATGCTTGTTCCATGAGGTCACTTGTCTTTTGAGTAGGGTTCAAAATTACAAGGCTACAGAGTTTAAAAATGATAGCTGTGAATTCAGAATTGGGTCGGCTGTTCAGCGCCGCAAAATAAAACCTTAAGCCGAAAATCAACTTCATTATTTTTACGCTTAAAAAAGTTTGACTTAGGAACTTAAAGATATCTATAATCTACAAACTAATAATCAGACTTAAGTTTTGCTTATGAGTGTCAAAAAATTATTAAAATCATCAAACACTAAGAAAATAATAAAAAGATATATGTTAATAGATAAATATTTATATATAATTATTAAGTAAACAATAATTAAGTAAAAAAAGTTATTTTAGTCTAAGACATCCCATTGTGAAAATTTCAATAATTTGTGTTAATTTAAATTATAGTTGACAAATTTATGACATACTTTCTGAAATTTGTCCAGAATTTTGAAACCAAATTGCAGGAGCAAGTTTCCTTTGAGCATTTATAAAACAAATATTTGTTTATAATTATGAATTCCCCTCTTTTCAAAGAATCTTAATTTACATATATTGAAATCTTTTTGCTTTAATTTTTGTTTCTTGAATGCTTGTTTGTTTCTAAAATGAAACTATTTTGTTTCATTGTTATTGTTTATTTATTTCTAATGGCAGATTATGAACCGTTACAGCAGAAAACAAGTAAAAAGAAAGAACAAAGTGCAAAAAAAAAAAAAAAATGCTTAGAGTTCATTAATCTAACAAAAGTTAGCCTCCCAATAACACTCGGTGAGAAAAGTCTTGCCTAGAGCAGGACAGTGGAATTGATGTGCGAAGTCCATGACGTTTCCAGAGTTGTACAGAGTGCATACATATCAGAGAAGGAACAATTTTGAGTCTATAAAGATGGTTTTTTAGGCAGTCATGTCCGTTGGCTAGGCGTAATTCAGCGACTGCTATACGCCTTGGGTCATTAAACAAATTTGGAATGATATTCTTCCATTACTTTTGGGAAACACTGTTATAGAAGTCTTCCTGAGCAGAGGCTTTAATAGATATTTTTAATAGTATGGAAGGTCATAGAACGCGAATTTTTTTTGCATAATTAACAAACCTTTTTAGTCAGGAAGTCTGCTTCCCCATTTCCTGGAACTCCACAGTGGGCAGGAACCCACTGGAGTACTATAGTTTTCTCAAGTGATGCCAGGCTTTTAAGAAAAGGGCACTCCAATATATCCTGTGTTATAGGATTATTGTCAGAAACAATAGCCGACAGAGCAGCTCTAGAACTGCTGAGGATATCGGCTCTTGTGAATTTTTCCAAGTGGCATTACAGCTGGAACAGAGCTGTGCCAATAGCAGCAATTTTTCCGTCAAACGCAGTACCCTGTCCAACAAGGTAAAAAGAAAAAAAATTGGAGACAACTCCGGCACCTGCATTTGGGCTATCAGACAGGAGGATTCATCAGTAAAGATCCGGTGGCACTCTGGTTCAGGGTAAAAAGGTTTAATACTTCAAGAGCAAGGGCACTCAAAATAGAAGGGTCCATATTACTTTCAGTTATTTTTGACTAAAATCAAGATTAATCCAGGAAGATTTCAAATTTATTGGATTTTGGGATGGGATGAGTTATTCAGGTTCATGATTTAAGCAAAGAGAATTTCTTTCTTGTCTGGTCTTAATGGACTTCATTCCAGAGTGAAAAACACCCAGGTACTCTTTTGATCTATTCCCAGAGTATTAAGGCCTTCTCTTGAATAATGGTTCTTTAGGGCTTATCACCAGTCAACATAAGTATGGTGTCTACTGGGGTGGTATTTACTGCTCCAGCAACAATATGTAAGGACTGATTTTTGATTTTTTCCAGGGTAACAAAAACATTTTCCCTGGCCACAACAAGTGGCTCTCAGCAGTAAATCAAAAGGGGAAGACTGAATGTGTGATAGGTTTGAAGCAGGATTTGTCGCGTACAGCCCAATCTTGCTCCAGCAAGGCATTTGAGGGCACTGAGCGTCTTCATGGCACGGTTATAAATGTCCTCTACATGGTATTTCCCTGTTAGTTTGCAGTCAAACGTCACTGTCAGATATTTAAAATTATCCCGCGAATGAATTTGGATGCCCTTAAGTCAGCTGAAATCCAAAGTCTAGCAAGTGAAAAGTGAGAATTTTCAAGTGAAAAAGTCTAGCCGTATGATTTATTCAAGTTCACCTCCATATTATTGGTATCACACCAAACCTCCAAAGCGTTCAAAGCATCAGAGAGTTTAGTCTCTATGGTTCTCACTGCATCTTTTTTAGAAATTGTCCAGAAGACCAAATCATCAACGTATAAGAGGCATTTGACGCCAAGAGTTTCTGTTATTTTCGGAATCAAATCATTGCTGTAGATGTTGAAAAGGGAGCAGCTACTTTCAGATCCCTGTGGGAGGCCTGCTTTTAAGATCTTAGATTTTGACAGTGTGTTGCTGTACCTGACTCTTGTCATAGTTGGGAATTTTTTTTAATTATTATTTGATTAACCTTTGTCACTTTTTGAAAAAGTAAAATTTCATGAAATGATTTCCAGGCAACTCAAACAGATAACAAAATGGTTATAGAAAAAATTTCCTCTCCAATTTTTTAAAGAGAAATAAATACATTTTACTTGACTACCGCAACTTATTAACAATTGAAATCTACATATTTTCTTGTAAGAAATTGTACAAACAATTATGCTTTTGATAAAAGAAAAAGAAAAAAAGGTGATTAGTTGCCGAATAGTTTACTTTCTTAAAAAAAAAAATGAAAAGCAGATATTCTTTATGAAAGGGATTTTTATGTTTACCAGATAAGTTGTACATCTGTGGCAGAGTTATTTTATATTTAAAATTTTCACATTAATTAAGTTAATTACAAATATTTTTTTAGGAAATAGTAAATAGAAATTAAATTAAGTTTTAATAATAGTATAATTTTACATTTGATGACAAATTTTAACCCAAATTTAAAACTAAAATTTTCCTTGTTAGCAAAAAAAAAAAATTTCAAGAATGAAATGAAGAATCAAAAAAAATCAAGAATCAAATGAAATTTCAAGAAATCTCATGGGGGGAAAAAGTAGTGATACAGTACTCTCTTAATTCTATACAGCTATTGACCAGATGCTCTGCAGATTTTAGATTGTTAAAAAATTTTATTACGCAATTTTTATATAAAAATTTATATTAAATATAAAGATAATTTATAAAAGTTAGTTTTTTCATTTAAAGACAACCAATGACTGAATTATTGGCGACCAAAACAGGCTACAGGTGACATAGAGCAGAAATCTCTGCATATGGCAATGCTATGTATGCTTCCACATTAGCGTGAGGACAATTGTTGAAGAAGAACCTAAAAAATTAGGTCAGCTGTTCAACAACGGTTATAAAATAAAATTGATCATAGCAGGAATTTCATTAGTTTCTGTCCAAATTTTCAAATAGATTAAAACCTTTCAAGTTAGGAAATAATGTGGAACTGAAAACAATATTAAACATAGTTCTGAAAGAAATCGTTGCCAAAATGTTAAAAAATATTTTTGTTAATTAAATAGGAAAATATGAAGAAAGGGTAAAATGTCGTACATTCCTATACAACTGAGAAGCGAAAAGCAAAGGGGGAGGGGTCTAGGTAAGGAACCAGTCTTCTACCCAGATGGCGTATTCGAGTGTTGCGAGCGCAGTTGGAGACTTTTATATATTTGGAAAAAGCATAATTTAAATCAGAGTTTAATAAATAAATAATTTTAAATTTTTTTTTTACATAAAAATATAAAAAATTGCAATTTGAATAATCAAGGCTTTTAATTAAGACCCATTCAGCACCTAAAGCAAAGCAATGACGTAAGTCAACACTTGAAATTATTCTTAATTCTTTCCTTAAACTTTTAATACTGAAGAAAAAAATATTTTGATTTATATTTGAAGTTTAGTTATAATTTGAGTACATAAATCTACTATTGAATTACATGTCCAAGGGGATGCATCATTACTTAGGTTTTACGACCTGTCTAAAAATTTTAGAGTATTTGACATGCTATTATAGTGCTGAAGTGGAATCATTAAAATAGTTAAAATCATTAAAATAATTATTCAATTTCAAAAAAAGCCATCTTTTTAAATTTCTATTCTTCGAGAAATATTAAATTTTGTTTTGTCATTTAAAATGATATTGTATTTGTATACCTTACACTTCGAAATTTTTTTGACCATCATTAAACAAAACACTGAAAAATAAAGTATTTTTAATAATCATTTTCTGCTTGCAATTATCTTTAGAAAAATAAATTTTAAAATTGTGTGTAAAAACTTTTGCTAGAAAAATTTCTCAATATGGCTAAATATGAAAAGCTTGAAATTTACATTAAGGGGTTTACTTTAAACAGCAGTTCTGCCAAAACTATTAGAACCATACTGCAGCCAGGTATGTATAATATATAAAAATGTACAATTGTCATTTGCAGAAATTTTTTTAGTATCATTCATTATAAACAGAAATAGTCAAAATTCCCACATACCGCACCGTCAATATAAAAATGAAAATTTTTTTAAAAATTGATTTTTAAACAAATTTCCCCAAAATTTAGTGGCAGCGAATAATTAATATTGCAATATTTAAGAGTTAATTTTCAATTTTGCTAGTAGAAAGTTTTTTAATAGGGATATTGTGTTTTTATTTTATGATTGCAGCTATTCAGAGATCTTTTTGTGTATAACTTCATAGTTTAGTTATCATTAATTGGCATATTAAAGATTACTCTTATGAACCATTTAATTTGACACTTTGTTTGTTAAAATCTGATCATTAGATGAAGAGCTATTTAAGGAAATATTTTTCTGTTCACTGTACATTATAACTATATTTAACGAAATGTAAATTTTTTATGGTTTTATAGTATTTATGTTAATAAACAAGATTCTTAGGAGTTATAATGGAGTCTTTAGAAGGGATTTATTTGATTTGTTGTTTTAGGGTTATCAAATTATACACCTCTGGTGCTTAGTGCAAATGATGATTTTGAGCTTGGTGTTTCACATCATAGACCTACTGTTAGATCACCAGATAGCAATGAAGTGGAAGAAACCATTGCTGATATCTTAATACCAGCTGATCCCAGTGATACAGTTGGTTGGTCAGCTACTACTGAGACTGCTGATATTCTTTTCTAACTACTTTATGGTAAGATAGTTTTTCTGAATTAAATGTAGAGGTTTTACTTAATATTATGGAATGCTCTCAAACATTGTTAAAAAGTTTTGAGCTTTTGTAATTTCGAGTAATCGGAAACTTATTTACCATCATTAGTAAACTTTATAATAGATTGTTATACAGTATAATTGTTGTGCAGATTGTTATAAATATTAATAATTTTCGGAAAGAAATTTAAATTTAAAACTGCAACATTTAAAATGAGTAACAAATTAATCATTTTTTTGGTTTGCTTAGTTTCTGAAATTTTAATTTCTTAGCAAATAAAGTAAGAAGTTAGTAGTTCTTGCTTAGCTATGTTTACACCCACAAAAAGCTAGTGCAATTTATAGAGAACTGCACTTTATACAATTGTACTGTATAGATCTTGTACTATATTACGTTTCTTTTTAACTTTTCATAACTTTATAAGTCAAATAAGCGAAAAATAAAAAAAAGTTAAATAATGAAATACTTATTTAAGAAAAATTGGCAAAAACTCAATTTATATAAATAGTGTGCTATTTTTAATATTGCTTTATATATACAGTGAAACCCCGACTTTACGTTTTCGGTCGGACTAGCGATAAAAAACGCTCGAAGCGGAATAACGTAAAATCGGGGTTAAGAAAAATCTATGCATATTTTTAAAAATTTACACCTGCCAGTTAAATGGAAAAAATGAGTAATCTTTACTTGCTTTTTGTTTTTAGCTACAATTTTATATACAACTTGTTCAATACTAAAATTTTTTTGCAAATTTGCTTCTTGATTTACATTTGCAAGTAAAAATTGTTTTAGAGTTTTTATGCTTTGTGTTGCTTGATCAGCTGTTGGCACGTCTTCTGTTATTTCATCGTCATCAGCACTATCGTCGGAATCAGGCATTAAATCACTTATGGAAGGAATTTCTGAAGTAATGATATCTGTGTCACAGTCGATGTATGCATCATCGATTTCCGGAAGATCCTCAACTTCAGACACGCTACCTTCTTCCAAAGCAACAGTGCTCTCCTTCTCCGATATTGAAAATCCTGCTTTATTGAATCCATTGATAATGCACTTTCTGTCGACACTGTCCCAATTTGAAGATATCAAAATTAAGATCCTCAAGAACATTAATTTTTGCCTTAGAAGCATCCCGAAAGTCACCAGAACCAAGAAACATTAAAGATTTTCTAACCAGTTGCTTCCGGTAACTCTTTAAATGATCGGATGATTCCTAAATCCAGTGGTTAAAGTTTGCTCGTACAGTTAGCTGGAAAAAACTCTATTCGCATGCTTTTCAATTTAAGGTTTAAATGAGCAGTGCATTGGTCTAGGAATAAAATTATGGTGCGCTTTTGAAAACTCATTTTCTTATCCAGTTTTCGAAGAAAATTTTCAAATAATGCTTGCATCATCCGTGCTTTTTTGTTTGAAGCGTAATCTGTAGGAAAACTCTTGATATTTTTGAAGCACCATGCATTTTTGAAAGATTTCCTCCATGGCAATTTTCACCTTTAATTGTCAGTGTCTTCTTTGGCAATATGTTGAAAAACAATCCTGTCTTGTCCGCATTAAATGTCACTTAGAAGATTATAGCCCTTTAATAAATTTGGCAGAGTTTCTTCTTTCCACTGTTGCACAGTTGTCATATCCACACTATCCGATTCGCCACAGATAGATTTGAAGCATAATTTGTCTCTTTTTTTTTTAATCAATTGATCCAGCCATTTGATGCACTGAAGCCTTGGAGTTTAAGCCTTTCATCAATTTCAAGCGCCTTTTCTCTCAGGATGGATCCATTTATAGGAATCTTTGCTGCTCTGGCTTCCTTGAACCAGTTCATTAAAATTTTTTCTAACTCATCATACGAAGATGTTTTAAGGTTTTTTATCTTCTTGGTATATTTTCCGAGTTTTTCAGCGTTTAGTTCTACTGAAGCTTCTTGCTTTAAAATCATTTGCAAAGTTGAATAAGCAATACCCAAAGATTTAGCAAGATCAACTTTAGTGCCATGAAATTCTTTAGCTTTTTAGATGATTTCAGCCTTTTCGGCCAGAGAAAAGCATTTTAGTTTCGACATCTTCTTTCGAGAAAAGAACACGATGACTGAGGTTTCGAAAATGAGAAAAAATGCTATAGCTTTCAAACTCAAACAAAACCGACTGAAAATCTCATTTGGTATGCTAGTACGGAAAAATGGGTGAAACCATTTCTCATGGGGGAGAATTGAAGAAACGACCACACCTCTCTATTCAAAGTGACTTATCTTCGTATCACAAATAAACAGCGTCAGTAAGACGTCTGGAGTACATGTAAAACTCAATCATTACTGACAGTGGTCTCTCTAATCCCCCCTCTTTCTCTTTTGTTGATAGGGAGCGGGGGAGAATAGAAGGCGTAGATGTCATACTTCCATCACTTATGGTTTTAGGGTACCAGTGAATTGCGTCACCCCCCACCCTTCTGATAGTGACAGAGAGGAAACTTCACCCCCCCCCCTATTGACAAATAGACAAAACGGAACAGAAAGAATGCAAGATTTGGTCCATACAGCTGAAAAACAATTTTCTCTTGTTCAAAAAAGTAGAAAAAAGTTTGTGTGAGAATTGTAGAATAAAAAAATTATTTTGATCTGTTTGTAGAAAAACGCATCAAGCTGGATTTTCATAAAAGGGGTAACGCAAAATCCGTGATTTTTTTAACATTATCGGTATACGCAATTTTCACGGATCAGCAGAAAATGACGTAAGGAGCGGGATAACGTACGAAACGAACAAAGTAAAATCGGGGTTCCACTGTCATTTATCTGAATGCATTCGAGTTGTTATCTCTGGTCATTTATTTATCAGCTCATGTTGGCGAATATCCCACTTGGTCTTTCTGTTAAGTTATTAAAAGATAATGTGTATTGCTATTTTATAGAGCATCATATCCCAATCCTTTTGCATTGATTTAAAAGGAGTTAAGGATCGTTTTGGTATAAATGTGCAAATGGTTTGAAAAAGAATTATCACATAATGTTGGGAAGGAAACATTACATGGGAAGTAAAAGAAAACTTTTATTGCATTTTATAGATAACTATAACTTAAAAATGAAATCTTGATGTTGTAACATGAAAAAAGAATCAGGATAATCTTTTATAGGAGGAAAATAATCTTTAATAGTACAATAAAAGTCATCAACACTTTTGACATTGACAGACTATAAGAAGAGCATCTTATCAAAACAATCAAATTTGTTCTAATGAAGTAAGGAATAAAAGCTGCAAAGCAGAATTTTAGTTTAAACTAGAATGGTCACTTTAATAAATTCCCTGTTAGTCGTTTTAGAGTTGATTAAGGTATATGACAATTAGAGTAGATTAATGTATATGAAAATTTCTAAATGTGATATGCAATGTTTTAAAGTTGTCTTTTCGTATGTCTCAATAATACCTATTATATTATTATATATGATGTATCCCAATAATATCATCATGACCAGACATAATATACCTTTTAAAAATTTTTTGTTAGTTAAAAGAGTAAATGGGGTTAACATGAGGATGACATAGATGTCTCTTGTCATTACAGCTAAATGGAAAATACAGCATCAAAACTCATATGAGAAAACAGTAAATAAATTTTTTTTCTGACTGAATAGGACATATGAAATTTTTTTTCTGACTGAATAGGACATATGAAATTTTTTTTTTTGCTTATCAAAAATATTTGTAAAACAGTCTTTTGTGTTAGTGATGTTTACTTCTTAATTGTATTTTAAAATGATTTTTGAATATTGTATGTACTTTTTATTCATTTTTTTCCAGATGTTTGGACTCTTACTCTTCATTTTACTTTCATATTGGTATGTCACTTCATAATTAAAGAAATGTAATGGAAACATTTATAAAAAATTTTTTTTGTACATTTCCTTGTACGTATTTACGTGTTTAGGAATGAATATTTATTTTAAATTAATATTTATTTTTAAAGTAATATTATAGTTTTTCAATTTTATAAAAACAAATCATCTTGTGTTTGTCAATTTAAGAATCACATAGTTTTATTCGCAGATTTATTTCACATTTGTCGTAACTCTGCTTTGTTATCCGATTTGTTTTTTCAAAACTATGAAGGCTTATATAAATTTCAAAATATTCCTTATTTTATATGGTTATTAAACACTCACTCATTTCGGATGGATATTATGAGTCCATTAGAAACTTTAAAAAATGTCTATAATTTTCCTTTTTGTAAAATAGCTTTTCTGGTTTTCGTTTGGTCTAATTTGCTTTTATATACCTCTCATACAATTTTTGATCATTCAAATAATTAAATTGGTATTCATCATTGAAAGTCTGCTGTTGTCCAATTTTTTGTGTGATAATTTTGTTAAATGCTTTAGGAATATGAGCTTATGAACAATACCAAAGCATAGATTAATTACATTATTTATTCAAAAATAGAGATATTTATGTATAGTTTTAATGAAGACTTTCTTTTCCTGGTAAATAAGCTTACAGTTATAATAAATGTGATGTTTGATATTATATAACTGAAAAATATGTTTTGTTTCACTTTTAAATTGTTTGCAATTTTTTATAATGACAACTATCATTATGTTTTGTGTAGTATTTAAGTAGAAATACTCTTTTTTGATATTCAGCTTGTTTAATTTTAAAACTTTTTATACTGTTGACTGTGTTATACATATTATTTACACTTTTTGTATTTATTTTCTTTATAAATTTGGAATATATTTGTGTAATTGCATTTATTTAGTAAAGTAGGTATTCAAAAAGTTTCATAATTGGAACATTTTTTAAAAAAATAATGTTTGGATATTATACCTAAGTCATTTTAATTTTTAAGATTTGTGTAAATTAATAATCTGGTCACCTGCAAACTTCAAAGAAAAATATGAGTATATTGTTTGTTTATAAAAATAAAATGTAAATGTGGTAAGTTATAATTTACATCTATTACTTTTGAAATAAACTGTGTTTAAGTGGTGAATGGTTTTTGAAGAAAAACTTTTCACCACTCTTTGTTGATTACCTTTCTAAAATTGACAATGATTAATTAATTCTGAAAATTAGGTATGATAATTGTAGTATAAATCCTAAATTTTATCAAAAGAAAAAAAAAACTTCCTAGCCACTTCATGTAAGTTTTTTTCTTATTATTTTTTGCTAGATTGTGGATCAGTTTAATCATTGTTTTATTTTTCTGTATGTCTATGTTTTGTCCATTATTCTAGTTTCCTTAAATGATTTTGTGAAAGGAATTTCAAAGTTATGCTTCTAACATATTGTACAATACAGAGATAATGCAATTGAATATCTTATTTTCGGTAATATTTGCTTAACTTAATACAATTTTAAACTTCATATTTAAACTAATCTAGTATTTTGTTTATCATTAATGGGCAAACATTTAGTTCTATGTTGTTCATGACATACTCCACAAAAATTGCACCATGTTTTTTTTTCTCTAAAATTGTTAGTTTTGAAGGCTTTATTGTAATTCTAAATAGTTTACTTTGTTTCAATATTGCTCTTATTTTATTTGTTTGATCCATAGTGAAGTATTTACATCAAGTTTCAACCTCATTCAGATCAACAATTTTTTTTTATTTTAACTTAATTTTTTCTCTGATACTGAAATGTTTAAATCTAATGGTATTCAATAGTTATGAAGTGTTACTAAATTACTTAACTTCATCATAATCATGCTGAGAAAAATTAATTTTTCTCATGACACCGGTTTTGTAATTTACCAATTTTTTTCTCTCTTGTTTAATCAAAATTGTTTATTAACTTGAAATTAATGGATTTATGCAAAACACTTAACAAATGGTTATGTATTAATAAACTAATTATCTATTTTGGTAGTTTTTTGTCATATTGCATAGTACACAAAAGATTATTCATAATTATGACATTATTTCTGTATTAAATTTTTAACTAAAAATTCTTTTTTGCCATATTTTTTTAATTTCTTCTATTATAAGTTAATAATTGTTTTTTAAGATTAAAATTATTAATGATTTAAAAATATGTTTTAAAACTTTAATTTTTTTTTTAGTATTATTAGATTCAATAAGAATTCAATTAGATTCAATAAGAACTCTTTAAAAACTTCTTGATAGTGAAACTATGTTTAAAAAGCTCTGAGATTCATGGATTACAAAAAATACTCTTGATAGATTACAAAACTGTTAGAAATCTTATGATTATAAAAAAAAAATCTTAGATGTCTATTTATTACCTACATGCAAAGTTCACATGAAATTATTGCAACTTTTGCATAGATTTTTGTTTAGGGTAAATTATTCTTATTTATAAAGTATTTAATTTCAATATTACATTCAAGAATCAAGAATGAAATCAAAATTTGAATAACATGCAATTTTTGGTTATTGTTTGGTTGGCTAATTCGGATTTTAAACTTGCTAAACAAGCAATCAATTAAGATCTAAGTAGTGAGAGCCATAATGGCTCAGTAGTTAAAACTCAGGACTATCAGTGTAAAGAAATATGGTTCAATTCTTCGCGGGCTTAAATCACACGAAGCTTCAGAATGACGGGTGCCAGCTTGTGTGGCAAGTAAATCTGGTTGGTATGCTATGGTAACTCACCATCATGCCATTTCATTTTATACAATATTGTGGAGCCTTAAACTCCATGACAGTATAACTCATAACTGTCTGTTGCAGAAATGCTTTACTTTTATACCATGTAGAGGGCATCTAACCACCTAGAAGTATCTGGATTTGATCAAAATTGAATTTGTCTTGCAAAGTTATGATTTTCAGTGAAATTGCTCAAAAGCTATAGAAGTTGATAATTTTTCAAGTATTATAAACTGCTGTTAGTCCTTGGAAGAAACTAAAAATGTAAAAATACTTCTAAACAACTAAATTGTCTTTTCTTATATTTAAAAATTCTATGCTTTCATTCCACTTTTCTTTTACTTTTTTGAAAAGTATAAAATATGGAAGATACTATAGTACTAAAATGTTGCAAACTTGAGACAGTTTGCAAAGTTTATTATATACAAAAATAATTATGTTATTATATGTTTATTTTTAAGTATACTTCAAAAATCCTGTGTAAAGTTACCTCATCACATTGTATATTTTTATGCTATAATTATTAAATAAGTTTTTTTATCTTAAAATTCCATCAATAATCAGTTACAATGACTTTTAAATTTTTGATGTTTATATTTTACCGTTTCTTCAAAATTGAATTTTTCATGTGAATCTGTCTATAGTGTTATGTAAAAAAAAATTACATAAATTAATTTCAGTTGTGATTTTCAACGATATTGTTTAAAGCATGAAAATTGAATCTATGTTTAAAAATAAATGTGAATAAGTTGTTTCATTGGATAAAATTTTACAGATTTTATAAGTGTTTAATAAAAACTCATAAGTAGACTAATGTCTAATAATGAAGGCAGTAAAACCGATTATGGTTAAAGTGGTTTTTTTTTTCTTTTCTAAATGATTGCTTTCTACTTGCTTAAGAGTAGTAATAATATTAAAAAAGAAATTCAATTTTGTTAAAAATCAGTAAATTTTCCTTCATGTAAAGTAAATTGTAAGAATTAAAAAAAAAAACAATGAACTATAATAAGGAAATTGGGAGCGAGTTAATTCTTTAATAGAATAAATCTCTTAAACTTATTTGAGTTATGATATGAATTATTATACGAATCCTCTTATTATATATCCCTTCTGATTATATATCCCTTCTGATTATATGAAACCTAAGTGTATATTTGAATATTTTCTAATCTAAAAGAGTTTGAGATAATTCTGAAAGCATAAAGAAAAATAAATTTTAGCATTTAAAAAAAGTGTCTAGTATGTGTTTTTTTGAAAAGTTTTTTTTTGCCAGATACAGTTATAAGATAACTTAATAATTAATCATCATATATATTTATTCTTTACTAAAATTGATTCTCGGGTATCGAGATTTTACAATAGTTTAACTATTTCTTATTGATTGATCCATAATTACTCTATAAGCAGTTGTCATTAATTTTTGAATTTTATTATATATTAATTACTGTTTTAATCAGATAAGTTCTCTTGGGTATTCAAAGACATTAGACATTCTTTGATTTTTTTTGACCTATGAAAATAATATTATAGATCTTTAAAAAAAATCTACATTTCTGGTATTTTCTTTTTAAAACTCAATTGCAATTCTACTTGCACTCTTTGTACTTCAACTTTTCTACTTATAACTAAATTTTCTTGTTCAATGCCTTGTAATTGCTCAATTCTATATTTATCTTTACTTCTTTTTGTATAGTCCTTTACTTTTATATATATATATATTTAAAAATCGATTTCTTCGGAACTGTACGACNGCATGCACAAAAGTCTTCAAAAGTTCCCAATTTTTTGGACCCAGAACAGAAACCTGATAATATTTAGATTTTCAGGCAGTTAAAAGAATAAAAAAAGTTGCACTAAAATATTTGTTGACCTCTGTATATGCGTTTATTTATATATAAATTAAGTGAGTACTAGACTAAAAGGAAATGGCACTTAAAAGTGAAGCAACCACACAGCTGTAGCTGATGATTTTTAGAACTTTGGCACCAGCTTTCTTGCTTTAAAATATTGTTTATTATGAGAAATGTTGGCCAAATTGATTTAATCAAAGCATAAATCTTTTTATAAAACTGATATTGTATAACTGTATTACATGTGAGTAAAAATCTTAATTATCAACTCTTTGTATGTTAATTCCTACTGTTTCACTTTTAATTAACCTATGTGTAAGCTCTTCTGATTGATTCAAACATTGTGATTATTGTTGTATTTTTGTCTTTTCTATTCAATGACTAATTTCTGTTTTCCCATATTCTGTTTTCATGAAACAAGAAAATACTAAATTGTATAAACATCAAAAATGTATTAAAAAAAAAAAGTTTCTGCACGAGGTTTCTCTATTGCTGTTGATAAAATTGTCGTAAATATATACTAAAAGTTTTGACAAAACCATGCTATACACACCTTTTGACAAAACTATGCCATGCATAGATAAAAACAGAATAAATTATAATAATGCAAACAGACTGATGAAATAGCAAACTGAACATTATGAATCATTTATTATGAAAGGCTGCTTTAATAGGGAGTTGTACTAAAAAAACATTTAAAAATCAAATTTTTTTTTTTATTATTTAAAAACAGTGCTGAGTCTTCCATTGAATAAAAAATTAATAATAAGTTTTTAATATTGTTTTGTAAAGATAAACTTTTTATTACTTTTTTGTATGAAAGAGCATTTTAATTTTTTTGGTTAGTCTAATTATTTAACTGGTACTTCTTATAAATTTACTTTCTATAATCACATGAAATATTGAAACATGCTTATTAGTCACATAGTAACATTATTATTAGCAGGGACTAAAACAGGATTTCTATTTTGATGCCTATTTTTGTGAATAATTTTAATGCAGTTAAAAATGTTAAATATTTAACAAAAAATTATTTTTAAGTTTAAGAAAAGAAAACGAAACTGTAATAAAACTGACTTGCATTTGTCCCTAAATGAGAGTACTGTGTGTTATGTTTGTTAAAGTGAACCCTAAAGGAACACGATTTTAATAATTGTTCTCTATAAAGTTGAGTAGTTTTGCATATTTCTCTTAAATAAGCTATTGTTGGCTTTTTAATTTAAAATAGTTTTTAAAATTAAAATTCTAATTAAATATAATAAGTTATTTGTATTAAAGTATATTATTAAACTTATCATTTTTATTTATTAAAACTGTAACAGCACAGCTAATTGGAATGGTGAATTAACAGCTGCAGATGGTCTTATTGGTTTATTCAAACAGTCAAAGTGCCTTTCCTTAAGTGTCGTACTTCATGATATTGATATATTTCAAAATGTTACTATGTCCCAATAGATTTTTTTATAACAAGTTTTTTCATTTTAAAAAAATAACTGATTTTAGCATTCTAGATGTTGTAAACTATTGTGCTTTCTATTTACAGTTAGGAATTATTCTTTTAATGTCAAAGTAACCTTTCTCTGATTAATGTGGTTGTAGATTTTTATAAAGTGCTTGAAATTTTTTTCCTGAAACTAAAGTTATTTTCTTGAGCAATTTTTTAAAAATTTTGATAAGTGATACATTGAAAATCATGCAGTATATTTTTGAGAGTTCTATTTTACAAATTATTTTCGAAATAACAATTTGTATTTATACTGCTGCCACACTTATTATAATTTAAAATACTCTAACTTGTTCTAGAAATTAGTTTCTGTGAATGAAACAGTTTTACTCTCTGGTACTTTCTAAAATTTCTGAAGTTTCTTTCCAGCTCATTGTTTTTCTATATCATAACAAACAGTATGCTCTGTAGAATAGCATGTTGGTTAGAAAACTTCTTATACAAAAATTATCAGAGTATTACATTAGATTTGCCTGAAATAGATTTAGCTTTTCATTTCTGTACCAATTTTTGTAAAAGTATCTATCAATATATTTATTGATAAATATTCCATTTTTAAAGTGTGTGTTTTAAAATTATGTGAGTGATATATCTTTGCTATTATCTGTAACGTGTTTATTAAATTAGCAGAGTATTCTTCATTGAATGGTTAAAGAAAAATTTTCATGATTTCTTGAATTTTCTGAATGCTCCGAAACCAAATGTTTACCCTAATGTCCCAAATAATGTAATACAAACTAATCATAAATTAATCCAAAAAAAGTTGGTATGTATTCCTTTGTTTATCTGTTATTTTATTTAATCAAAAATTTATAATGTATGTTATGGAAAAATAATCATCCTTCTATAATGTTTTTACCTGTTATGTTTACGATTATTTTGCTCCATACTATGTAAATTTTAAGTTGTCAAGAAAATTACTAAGTTTATAAAAACACCTTTTCAAAATTTTAATTGTTTGTGATCAAAGTTTCAGATTTTGATAAATATTGTTAAAATTCTAATTTAGGACTATTTTTACAACTTATTCTCGTATGAGAAATCTAGTTTTGATAATTTATGTTCATTGTCCTGTTGTTTTCTAATGCTTTAAGTTGTAAATATTTTAAAGTTTGTATTGTACAGAATTTTTATAGATTTAACTCTTGCACTGTGATTCTGAAAATGATGCAGTAAATTTTCAGTGTGAAAAATATTAAACTTTATAATGAAGTGAGAGTTTTCTAGCTCAGCTGTCTAGTGATAAATATTTTATATTAGTGATAGCTATGCATGTGTAAATACATAATCACATACTTTTCTATTAATGTGCTTTCCAAGCTTTTCATAGCTGTTTGTCAAGACAAAATTGTTTTTCAAATATAATGTATTGTAATACATACTTTTAGACCAGTTTTCTAAAATTTCTTACTTTCTAGCCTGCCAAAGAATCCTTTATTATTTAAAATATTTATTTTATATATAATTTTTTTTATATAAGTATAGTTAAGAACAAAATAATTGTGCTAAAAATCATTTCTGAAAATTTTTTTCCAATAACTCAAGTGCAGTTTAAACTTTCCCACTACTTTTCCCAAATTATGTTAGATTTGAAAGATAGCATATGGTCATGACATTTTATATAATGTATGTTCAGTTTTGTGTTAGTATATTTAATTATTTTAGAAAAACAAGTAATGGTTATAAATGAAGTGAAAAAAAATTTTGATAAATAATACTTAGAATAAACTAATTAGGTTGAATTGATTGAATTTTTTTTCTTTCAAAATTTTAAGTTCTTGAAAATTTTAAGAGCCGATAAAGCAAAAAAAGCCCAGATGCAAAAAAAAAAACATTTGGAGATAAGAATATTAAAACACAATGTTAGCTATTAGTACATATAGCTTTTACATTAAACTCAATTCAAGCATTTTTAACCTGAGATTTCATTAGTAAGATTGAAGGAATTGAGTATTGAGGTATTGTAGAACAGAGTATTAAGCACCAAAACATAGATTATGCTGTTTGTTGAAGCACTAAAGAAATTACAAGTTCTGCAGTATTCATATGGATCTGCATTTATGACTTTTAAATTCCTGTTACCTCATATACCTCAACTTTCAAGTGGTTTTTTTAATCTAATTCAAAATTGATTTATTAAAAACATTAAAAATCAAGTGTTAACATTGTTTAAAAATACAAACAGCTGTGAAAGTTAGTGTTAGAAATTGGTATTGCTCTATTTGAGTCAAGATCCTCTTACTGTATAAATGAAGTTGTGAAACTTTTTAAAAATATTAAGAGATAGTTTTTGATTAGAAGTTGATATGCAGAAAAGAATAAATTAAAAAAGCATTTAATAATTTGTTTCTCATGACCAATTATAACTATCTGTGATGTTTAATATAACTTAACCCAGTAATTTATTAATAAGTTTCCTAAAACTTATAATATTATGCTTTAGATAATTATTAAAAAATACATTAAAATGAAGCATAACATTTAATGGATTATTTGGCTGTGGTAAAGATAAATGTTCAAAATTTTTTTTTTTGAAAATTTGTCATAAGTGTACCAGTGTCAAAAAATATGTAATCAATTTATAGTATAGGTTCCCAAACTTTTTATGATTACTGCCAATTTTGCTAGAAGTAAAGTTACAAATGCTCCTAACATAAAACATTTTATTAAAACTCTTTTTCTTTTCAATTAGTTTAGTATTTTCTAAATGATAGTTTCAATTATGCTCTTAAGTTACTGAAAATTCTTTATGACCAGTTCATTCAAATTAAAAATTTCTTAACGATTTCTAAGAAAATAAAGTAAAAATTTTATGCTCTTGCATAAAAATAAATTACGTCAAT